AAATTATAATTTTCCTAATGAAGGAACCACTCGAGGTGATATCTCGCGTTTGAGATGAGGCTTCAGTCATTACGTGGAGCTTGTTGAGGCTAGATAATATATATAGAAGGATTCTTCCCTATGTGCTGTCCTTTTGGAGTTATGACCGTAATACTGAATATTTTTACCTGTCGCACCGTATTTATGAAAACTGGATAAATGTATTTTGGCCTAAAATTTCATTCATACACAGCTCTTGAAGTTATTGGAGTCTCCTAAAAATTTCAGTCAAAAAACAGTGGTCGTTTCACCCACACCTCTCAGGAAAACTGATTTTCGAATTTCGGCATGAAGTTCTATATAAAGAGAGAGGAGAAGAGTTCTTTATGAATGTTTCCAATCTGATCATTGTTCCTATCCTAAAATACAACTATAGCAATGACGTACCATTTACATCGCTGATATAAACTGATAGATTTGATAGTCATATTTCAGAATATGAACAAATCAAAAGACCTGACCCTTTCATAATAAACTATTCTTGTTAATGCTTGTCTCTATGCAAAATTTCAATTCAAAATACGAAAATCAGTTCTGCGATATTCATATAAAATCTCTCGTACCTTTGCGATATCTCCGTAGCAATAAACTAAGAGTCCGAACGCTTTCCAGAATATTCAAAACTCATTTGAGCCTACATGATATACACATTCTCAACTCAAAAGAAATAATTCCTTACTACAGTAAAATCTTCCATAGTGGGCATTTGTGAGACGTCTGAAAGATATCCACTATAGAGATTTTATACTGTATATATTTCCTACATGAACCTCCGACTGATCGATATGTATTCAATATGATTTATAGAAAATGTCGCTAAAACGAAAAGTTCCCTTCCCATGAAGAAAAATCCTTCGAAAATTTCTCTCGGTATCAAAATAAAAAAATCGCTTGATTTTGAACATATATATATATATATATATATATTTAAAGAAACAAAACTACTATACACAAAAAAATTTTATATTAAAATGCAATTCAATTTTATCAATCATCGAGTAATTGCGGTAGTCTTGAAACTTATGCATTTTGAAAACGTCTTAATACAACTGAACTCGAACATTAGTGCTATTGAAAGAGGCATATATTTAATGGTAACAGAAATTAAAAAAATCCAATTGCATTATTCTCTATTAGATAAACTTCGTATCCTAATTTCCAAAACAGAAAAAACTTTTGTATAAACAATAATTTCCTTCCACATGTGTAGGCGCATATGGATGTATTCTGCACCTCTGCTCTCTACTGTCGTTTCCTACAATTTAATGGTCGTAAATAGCCATACATTAGCCCCAGTACAAATAAACACGATCGTAAACAACCATTTTTGATGGTTTTTTTTTTCGCCTTTTGGCAGGTGAAATATTACGACTATATTTCACAATATGGTAAACAGTCGGATTCGCGATTTTCAGATTTTTATTAACTGTGTAACGGGACGATAAATTACGATTGTAATATTGCGCCTACCAAGCGTCCATTTACAGCTCTTTACGACTGCAAATTGTATGGAGCAACAGTATACATAATCGGCTTTTTTGTCATCTCGGTGACTGTAATTATTGCCCTAAATACTTGTAGTAGGCGCAGCATTACTAATGTATTTTATCATGCTGTGCATAGTTGATAACGATTTGAAAATCGAATATCAGATCGTTTATAGCTACAGCGAAATATGGTTGTCTAAAAATCGTGCTTATTCGATCTGAAATGAGAATGTTATAATCAAACTTTCAATATCAATTAGTAAGATATTTTCTGGATTTTAGTTTTTCGTTCATTTATTCAAGGATAGTTTTGTTTTTGATTATAAAAAAAATCCTGAAAATATTTTTCTTGATTGATAAAATTGATATATCTATATAGTTCGAAATTCTCTATAATATAAAATAAATCGAAGACAAACTTTATGTCTGTTATTATCGAATCTGTTTTGGTTGTCACTGTTGTTTTTTCTTTATCATCTGATTGATTAGATAATGGCGGATGAAAATTTCGTTCTTCTTTATTTAATTGTACAAATTGTGAAAGATCGTTAAGTGATCTATTATTATTATTATTATTGTTATTATTATTATTATTATTATTCATTTCATCCAGTAATTTTGTTTTTTTTTGTAACGATGAATTCGATGATGATGATGATGATGATGAACGTGAATGGCATTTTTGTTGTACAATCGGTGAATTAGGTGTTGATGATGATGACAATGATGAATTTGTATTTGATGATGATTTTCGTTTTAAAATATCCATACTATAAAAAGCACGTGAAACAGGTGTTTGTTGTTCATCACTTGTTGTTGTTTGATTATTTGTATCATCTAATGTTGATGATGATGGTAAATTTGTTACACTAGCTGCTGCTTCAGCTGCAGCAGCAGCAACAAAATCAGATAATTGTGATGGACTTTCTTTTTCTTTTGAAAATAAATGCTGAAAAATAAAAATAAAGTCTTATTTTAATAATAAAGAATCCTATCGGATAAGATGATCATCCTTCATTTGAAAATTCGACTATATCATTTTGTAGAGTAACTCGTAGTACATTGTATGACATGTAGGAAATTACATTTTAATCAAGTTTTAATGTTTTGATAAGCAATATATCATTTAGGGAGTAATTATAGCAATTGTGAATGATATGATTAAATATTAGGACTCAGAATGGAAGCGTATCTTAGTCAAATCGGCTAATCAATACCGAAAACAGGTCAGTTATTTAATTCTTAAAGACAGAAAAGTATATGTATTTTGCAATAAATATTTTTCGAGTGAAAAAGTTTCTATCTATTAATAATTAAGATTATCATGCTCTATCATTTGACGTATATAGATGTTCCTAAAATGGGAAATAAAATGTTTCGCTTTCAAATCCCTGAAGGAAAATATGAAAGTGGACTATTACAAAGATTAGATTTTATTTTATTTTGTTCTTTACGAATTTAGATTCTGACTAGATGGATGTGATTAGAGTATGAAGTGTTATTAGATTGAATATATGTTCGGTCTCTTGTGAGAATTAATAATTTTGCACATCCTTGTACTCTTCTCCAGGGATCTGAAAGCGAAAAATTTTTTTTTCATTTTGAAAACATCCATATATGTCAAATAATAAAGCATGATGAACTTATCATTAATAGGTAAAAACTCTTTCACTGAAAAAAATATTTATTACAAAACTCACGTACTTTTTTGTCGTTAGGAATCGAAAGTTCGATCTTTTTTAGACATTAATTGGTCAATTTAACTATGACACGCTTCCATACTGAGTCCTAATATTTAGTCATAGGACTCACAATTGCTATACTACCTATCCCGTAAATAATATATAGTTTCTCAGAACATAAAAACTTGATGAAAATAAAATTCTTCATATACTATTCTATGTGTTACGAGTTGCTCTACAAAATGGTATAAGTGATTTTTTGAAATGCGGAGTAGATTCTATTGTACCTGTCGTTTCAATTGTTCCATTGATGCAAAGGCATTAGGTGAATATTGAAAAGGTTGTATTTGTCGTATAAATTTCTAAAACAAATAAAACAAAAATAAAAATTAAACGATAAAATAAAATTTCAAAAAACAAAAACAAAAGAAATTTTTTTTTCGTACAGAAAGTTTTGGACGATGTTGTTCACAATAAATTGGATATTGACAATTATTTTTTCTAACATCTTCACATAATAAACCACTTGCTTGTGCACATGTAACATGAAAGACTTGTGAACAATTTTTAATTGTACAACCACAACATGCACCACTTGATGCAATCATTTTTGAACGTCCATTTTGTACACAAATTGAACATTCTTGTCCAAAACGTGTTGATGGAATTTTTGATAATATTATTGGTTCCATTGTAGCATCATCACCAAATGATACTTCAGGTATATATAATGCACATACAACATGTGCCCAACCACCATCTGATGTTCGTTTCATTGCACCTTCAATTGTTGGACATAAACGACATGGCTAAAAAATAAAAATATTTAAAAAAAAAACCTAAAAAAAAAATTATTTAATTCATACCGCTCGAATATCACCAGCTTCACATCGACCACAATACCAATCACCATCAGGTATTGTTACAATACCATAACATGCTAAATAAAATATATTTTGCTATTTAATAGATTATTTCATTGTGTTTTTTTTTTATTACCAGTATGACAAGCAACTGTACATCCTTTACCATCACAATAAACAAGTGCATTATTAGCAAAACCTTGATCATCTGAACAAACACAACAACCACCAACAAGTTCTTCATTATCATCTAAACCATTTTTTAATGTTGTTGTTGTTATTGTTGTTGTTGCTGTTGTAAGATGTTCATCATCATTTCCATTCTCTTGTGTTTTATTTTTATGATGAAAAACATTTTTATTTTCTCCATTACCATTACCATTTACCATTGGTAATACTGTTTTTGTATCTTTCATTGAACTTTTTTAATTTAATATTAATTAAAAAAAGAAAAAGGAAAGACTAATTGAAAATTTTCGATCAATAAGAATATTGACAATAATACATCTGAAAAAAAAAGAAAGAAGAAAAAAGAAAAAAAAAAAGGTCCTTGACATATAGTTGATAGCAATAACTAGATGTCACGTTTCTTTTTTTCTTTTGCTTCTTTTTTTTTTCTTTTATTCTCTATTTTTTAATCGAATAAAACAAATTGAATAGAACGATAGAACTACGATACTCAACAACAAGACTTGTTTATTATTTTTATTATTATTATTATTGAAAAAAAAAAGAAGAAAAGCCACAAACAACCATTCATATTAATAATAGCCTTGTCATTCCTCATTTTAGAGGATATGTCGTCTATTATAAATGGCCGAATGTCTACAGATGGTAAAACCTGGTCATATATGGATCTAATCAATGTGTTTATTTCTTGACAATAGTAATAATTTCCCTTAGACAGTGTTCCTTTTTTTTTTGTCTATATGGGCATCTATTATAGTCTGATATCGGGTTTTTCATCACCGACATCGACTAATAATGGAAATGCTCATTCAATAATACATTTAAAATCTTTAAAAAAACGACGACGTCGTCATAAGCGACATTATTTATTAAATCAATTTTTCTTGGGTACAAATCATTTTTTTCTTAATAGAAAAACACATAAATGTCTTTTTCATGAATATTATACCTTAAATTCAAATTCGGATATATTAACACCAATAAATTTAAATTTATCATTACCAAAATTAAATCATCCACTAATAATACATCCAATACAATGTACAATAGCAATACGAAGAGATTCATTAAAATTAATTCATTGTTATGAAGATTGGTATTCAATTGATTTTATATTTGATGCTGATCGACCAGTTCAAATTTACAGTAGGGGCATTTTTTTTTATAGAATTTCTTTTAAATTTTTTTTTTGACTTTTCTGTAAAGTCTATTTTATGGCACATGAAATCCATGCAAATAATGATGGAACTTTATCATATGTGTGTTGTACAAAAGTAAATCAATTAGATAAGGTTAAACAGTATAATGCATTTCTTCGGCCAGCTGGTCATGGACAAATATTTTCATCGATTAAATATGACATTCTATTTCCTTTATCAGTAATGAATGAAGAACATTATGGATGTACAATAACAGAACGATTGTATCCTATTGTTATTGTTTGTAAAGCAATCAAGGCTGATTTAATAAAGTAAATTAGATGTTAAGTTAGTCGTTACAAGGTCATATTTACTGCATGTTTTTCTTTTTAGACGAGTAGAATGAAAGTTTTGTTAGAAAAGTAAATTTAATATGCTTCCTAATATTGCTGAGACTAAAAATTTTAACAGAAGAAAATACTAATAAACTTATCTTTAGTAGACAATCTTGGTAAATGAAAAAAGAAAAACATAACAGTAGAACAATATTTTTTTTTTTTGAATAATCATAATTGACTAGAGCAAATTGTATTCAAATCTAGTTTTTCGATATGATCTATTTGAAGAGCTAGAAATTTGGTGCTACTCAAGAATAGACAGACATGTTAACTTTCAAGATCTTTCTATAACAGCAATATACAGATTGAAAAAAAAGTCGAATTAAATTTGTGCATCACGTTTTATCGCTAATTTTTAGTTCTAATTTTTTCCACAGATTAAGAATCAGTTGATTCAGTTATATTTTATTAAAATAGTAACTATTCATTTTCACAAATGAAAATGAAGGAAAATAATCAATTTTTATTAAACACTTCAAAAGGAATAAGATCATCTATACTAATTCTTCAGAGTTATAGCCATTTTCCTGAAAATTTCAGCTCATAAGAATTTTCCTTTCATGAAATATTGAATTTCCAGAAAATCACTCATATTCTACGAAAGTTTCATAGTTTTTCGGGAATTCAATATCTCATTACAGTAACATTCTTTTAAGATGAAATTTTCAAGACATTCTAGTTACAAATAGGCCTATCTATGAGCAAAATTTCAATAGAATGATTATAACTCTGTACGGAAAAGTCTAGATACTCTTATCCTTTTGGGGTCTACCTCATGCATAAAGTTCGAACCCAAAGGCGATTTTCAAGTTGGGACGATTTTCTGGTTAATATATAGCAAAAGGTTATATAATTTTCATTATGCTATTTTATTTGGCAGATTTACAAGAACAAGTACTGAATATTTTTAGCAAACAATGAGTGCAAACTTTTAAGAAATCTTTTTTTTTTCGAGATGGTATTAAATTATTTCCTATTAATTGAAAATTACGGAAAGAGAGAATAAGCTCTCCACTTTTAGCTTTATCCCTGTTATTGTTTTAATTATAATTAAATCATTATTTTAATAAAGATCAATATTTTCAAAGAACAAAAGATCAAATGTATCTCTAATGAAAGAATTTTTTTTAGTAGTCCAAAAACGATATGTGGTACAATGGTGAATCAAAATTGCAATGTTACTACAACAATCTTTCCAACATTTGATCAATTTCATATTGTTTTAGCAACAGTCAAATATTGTCAATTAAATAATCGAACAACAATGATAAATTCTAATCATGTATCTATCGTTTTACTTAGTCAAAAACATGTTTATAATGGAATTGTTTTTAAATTATTTGAATTTTATGGTATTGAAAATCATCAATCAAAATTTTCAACAAATAATTTATATGATCAACGAAAAATTTCTACAAGAAAAAAATCTTCAATTAAAATTGTTACAGTACCAACGATTTCCGAGAATGAACCATTTTCAAATACGAACTTAACAAATCGGTAAGAGAAAACAACTTTTTTGTTTATTCTTAATCAGTAACAAAGTGATCAACAGGATATTTAACCTTATATTACATTACGCCCACAAAGAGAGGTCGTAGAAAGAGACTAAAATAATTTTAAAAGGGTTCATCTCCATGAGCCTTTGAGGCCGATTTATGATTATTTTATTGAATTTTCAATTCAGCTGTAGATACATACCAAAAAAAGAAAAGAATTTTGACATGAAATTTTGCTCATACATACGTCGAATGACTTGTAGAATATCATAAAAGTTTCACCTGAAAAGAATGTTCTTTTATCAAGATATCAAATTTCCAAAAACTAATCGTTTGTCATGGACATAAAACAAAATTGAATTTATTTAAAAATTAATATTTCAATAAAAATGTTCTTTTTGGTAGACACTTTCAAGATGTATCTATGAATCATGAGACCTATCGATGGGCTAAGTTTCAAATCGAAATTCTGCTTTTTCATGTTCTTGGTGTATATACTTAAATCTAGCTTGAAAATTCATTAAAACAATGAAAATTTAGCCATGAGGATGGACCCTTTAAGATTTTTTCTAACCTTGCCAAGGCGTCCTTGTAAGCTCAATATAAGTTTAAACAGCGGGTATCATTTCGGGTAGTTCCCTGGTAAGATAATCAATCAATGGTACCATCATTATTTATGTAAATAGCAAATATTTTCTTTTTCTTATTAAATTTCAGATAAATCGATTATATATTTATTAAACAGATCGTTTTCTAAGATTGCTAGTTATATAGATTAGACCAAAATAATTCGATATATAAATATATTCATGACAATGAATTTTATTTTTAGTATCGATGATATATCATTATGCAATCAAGAAAGTAAACAAACATATAAAATAAAAAAATCTTTATCTTATGTGGATTTAATATTAAATAATAGAACTGAGAGTACTTGTGTTATTTGTCTAACGGATATACGAAATGTTTTACTTCTTCCATGTCGACATTTATGTCTATGTAAAACTTGTGCTGAAGATCTCAAATTTCAATCATCCAATTGTCCAATATGTCGTATACCATTTCATGCTTTATTACAAATCAATGCTTTACGTCATCGTCAAATTCATCCATATGATAGTGAAGAATATATATATGAAAATATATCAATTATTGATGCATTAAATTTAGCAACAACAATCATAACAAAAAAAAATTCTTTAAAACAAATTCATAATAATCATACATCAATATCAACAAATAATTTTAAGTATTTTTGCAGTGAACATATTATATAATATCTGTGATAGATGTATAGATACATATATATATATATAAAACAAAAGATATTTTATTGATTGATTGATAGAGGTAGTTGTATTTTTCTTTTTTTTTTCAATGAATTGCATGTAGAATTTTTTTCATGGCTTTTATTTTGCCAAAACAAAATACTACGGATTATGATTATTATTAAAACTACTATCGATTCTATTTCTTTTCTTTTACTGAAAGGAAATTTTATCAGATTTGATGATGTCTAGTGTCTGTTGTATGTGTTGCTGAGTGGCATCAAACAGTAGGAACAAAGATGATCGTTTATTCATCTATGGTTCAGAGAAATGAATAGATCTGTTCTTTTTTTTTTCTTTCTTTTTGTTTTCTTCTTATTATACGAGATGTAAGTATGATTGTGGGTCAAGTAATCATAATCATTCGCCGATGGGCACTCGCCGCCTATCTTGAGTAAATATTAATACAAACGAGACAAAGAAAAAGAGGTAAAAAAAACTATTTTATATATATTGTACATGATGTATTCATTTTTCTCATGTAATACACCTTACCGAATTCAATTTAGTTAATACTCTAGACTGATTAATTGTAGTTAATGAAAGATTTTGATCAGACATAGTGCATATCTTATTTTGCTTTTTTTTTTTTTGGTAAAGAAATTTCTGAAAGAATTATGAAAGACATTCAATTAGGACTAGTGGATCAAGCAGAAAAAATATATGGTTTATGTCAATTTTTAATGATTTCCGATATAGTTTCCATTTTTTTTCTTTTCTCGAAGCACTCGCTGACCATGCATTCATCTATCATTCGTGCATGATCGCGGTTCTTATATAAATGGTTTTGTGTTGATCAGACATCGGTTCTTTTTCTATCATCTGTCTTATATGTGTATGAAGAGAAAAAAAAAGCGAAATGAGCTAGAGAAAAGAATGAAGATTAATTTCATTGTAGAAACGGACGGGAGACCTCTTTAGGGAATCCTATGGAAATTGATTTTGGAGGAAAAAAAAAAAAGAGAAGCAAGAAGAAGAACACGAAGCAGTGATGCTGTTATTGATGTGGTTGCATCAACGTCATTGCAGACTTCCTTTAATAACAAACTGTTTTGATGAAGAGAATGCCAGTGCAATTGTGAAACTAGACAAGCAACAACTTATAATAAGAAATATCATTTTCTTTTTTCCTGTTTTGTTCTTCCTTTGCACTTAAGTTTGTCAAAAAGAAATAAAGAAAAATCTGAAAGCTGTTTTTTATCATCTTATGTGTATGTGTATGATGTGGCCTGATTTCGGCATTCTGCTATTGCTTGATTAATCCGACTGATTTTTCCATCTGTTGTTCCGAGAACGACTGCAAGAATGCAATAATGATGACTCTTACTACTACTCGATAGATGATAGAATAAAAAAATTAGTCCCAATAGTAGTGTTTCTATCGAACGCTATCGAATGATGGTTAAAAGAATACTATCGGCTCATCAGTTCATCTATATATTTATATGTGTGTGTGTGCGTGTGTGGATGTTGATGTACGCCTGCTGTTTGTTCTTATACAGTTTTTCTTCGTTTAATGATTGTTCGGTGAGATCATTAACACCCTTATACACGTGTCAGATCCTTTAAGTTTACTTTGATTACTTCTTCTCTTTTTCGTGTGAACATGGATCACTTCGTCAAGTAAATGACATTTACATGTCTAATAGTATACAACAAAAAAAAAAGAAAAAAAAGAAATACTAGTATTCTATGTGTAAAGGTTGATGCTCTTTTTCTTTCGCAATGTTAGTTTTCTTTTTATTTTTGTTGTTCTTCTTTATGCGCATTTATACAAGTTTTACCAGTCACATTCATCATTACAGGTGAAAGAGAAATGAGAATTATAGACATAGAAAAGTCTACATCATACAACGAGCAATCTTCTATCACACTACTGCTGTCGTTTCCTTTTTGGAAAAAAAAGGAATGAAGTCAGCAAAGCTCGTTTTTCTTCGTCGTTTTCTTTTTCTTTTTCTTTTTCTTCGTTTTTATTCTTTTGCTACCATTCTGCCTTTTTTTCTGTTTTTCTTCGATGATAGCGACTGCTGCGCGACAAAAGAAAATGCATTTTTTCCATAACGACTCTTGTCCTGTTAACGATAATGATCCTTTATATGATGGCGACGGGCAAGGCCAACAAGCCACTTTGTAAAGTCCACAATCATTGTCACGATCAGTAATTAGATTGTATTTCTTGCTTCTATCTTTTTATATGAAGTTTGACATATATTTTTTTTTGTCACATATCATATAGATACATTATATAGCTAACGAAATGAAAAGTTTCTATAATGACGTCGATCATACAACTTAATAACCTTTCTTTCAAACATCTAATATTTTCTATCGATTAAAGAGATATACCAAATGATCAGAAATTTGTTGAGCAAGAAGAGAAGAAAAAAATACATGAGAGAAAAATTTTCGTATAATTTTGTTGCAACTGTCGTTCTTATATGATTGACTAAATGCGTAAGCAAACCAACGGCTAACATGCGCAAAGCGAACAAGACGAAGAAGTAATACTAGTAGGAGAAGAAGCAGAAGAAGAAGAAGAAGAAAAGGTTCCATTTGCCCTCTCTCTCCCTCTATACGTCTTCCTACTTGTTGCTGTTTGTTCTTACTAGTCGCGTACCTTCGCATTCGCCTACACAGCTCTATCATTTTCTCGCCTTTGCTTTTATTTCTCGAACAATATGAATTGCGACAAACGGCGCGTACTCGTTTAGATCATACGCATACAAAAGAGAAGAAGAAACATGCTTATTTGTTACGATAAGTGTCGCGTGGTCGATGTTGTCGTCGATAGATACAATACAATATATATATATAGAGTATAAAAGAAAATTGAGACTTTGTTGAACTATATACAATCAAGGTTGACAAGACATGAATAAGAAGTTCAATATTAAACAAAGTGAAGAAAGAACAAAAATAAAATCTAGAACAGATTGAAAACAGTATCATTTTTCTTTCTTTCTTTCTTTCTTTTGTTCTTCATTGTGTTGAGAAAAAAGAACATCAGCGTCTATGTTAGATGCGTGATTGATAATGAATATATCTGTCGAGTTTCTTTTTTTTTTTTTCTTCATATACTTTACATTTCATTCTCAAGTATTTATGACTATTTTTAGATTTTATTTTGTTTTCTTCTTTTCTTTTCTTTTCTTGTTTCTTCATTTTCTTTCTATTCTTTGTTTAACATCATGTTCAAGTATAACAAATTACTGGAAGAATTTATCATGTGTATATAAATTTTCATTTAAAAATTGTTTATGTATATGTGTAAGTAATATAATCTTTTAAATTATCATGAAAATAATTATTCATTTTAATTTCGTTTTTTTTTTGTAAAGAAAAGAAACGCACGTGTTCAGAATGGAAGTTACAACAACATTATCAAAAACATTTAAACGATTTACAATACCTCGTAGTACATCATCGATGGGTTCATTTACAACAACAAACGGTACTGCAACTAATGTCGAACAAAAATTTGAAGAATTATCATCATCACAAACAACACAAGTTTCATCATTAAATGGTAATTCATCGTTAAATCATAAACATCCACCATTATCTTATGTTCAACATATACGACCAGTACAACATCATTCACATCAAAATTTATCTCTATCTTCACAAGAACAACAAGAACAACAACAAAAACAAAAATATAATCTACCTACTCGACCATTAAGTGGAGATATTTCATCATTTATGATACGTTCATCATCAACTGATTTTCATTCATCGAATGACTATATACCAAAAGAAAATAAAGTATTTTATTTACTTCATAATAGACAAAAGTCTCTCACCTGTCATATCTCGACTACTATGCTTGATGGAGGTTTGAAATATTGCACCAAGAATTTAGTTCAGAAACATGAGACTGTTCCAATTGTTTAAGTGCAACAAGAATTATGATGAAAGGCGTCTATCCTAATTTCAAGCTTTTAGCCTACAAAAAATAGTCTATTAAATTTCTTCTTACCTGTTATCAAGTACATGACTAATCCTTAATATTTTAGGATGTACGTGGAGCTTAGTCTATGATCTTTTTTTTTTAGTCAAAAGATTAGGTCACTGCATGCTTCCGACGAGAGAATATTTTTAACTGATTAATCACTTTTTCATCGAAAGCTAGTAGTATCGACCATGCTGATTTTGTATACAACCACAGCAGACACCATTAGGTCTTTATATACCGATTTTCAAGACTAACAAGCTCTTCACAAAAAAAAAAACTTTTTTTCATTTGTTCAGATTATGGAGAACATATTGAATTGCTTAGAAAGCAGTAAATTTTTCTATTTCAAATCAGTTTTTGTTTTAGAAAATACAACTATCTTGATTCATACAATAGATCTAAATCAACGTTTTACTGTGAGAACCTTCAAAATGATATTATTTTACTTAAAAATCATATTTGAAAAAACAGATAAGATTATTGACTTAGAGATAATTCGATATTCTTTATAACCTGAGGAGGTCACAAACAATTTTGATAAAATGTTTGTTAGGCCGAAAAACTGATTTTCTACAAAAACAGTATATAAAGACCGATAGAAATTTCTTATGGTTGTATTCAGAATCAGTATGGTCGATACCATTAACTTTCGATGAAATTAATACGGTGGGTGATCGAGGAACAAACTACTAAATAATCATTCTTGTTACATGTAAACAATCGAGATAAGCTCGTGTCTCAGATCTATATTCTTACAAGGAAAAATTCTCAAGTGATAAATTGTTTTCAAGCTGACAGTATATTAAATCGATAGGGCCTAATCAGTAAGTAAATACCTTCGAGTGGCTGGAACTGCTAGGCCTTTGTTGCTAAGATTTCGAATACTTAGTGCATTTTTCCTCCAAAACGAACTCGATGCGCTCTAGTAGGAATCTCGTTTTCAAGCGAAATCATACTTTTGAATTTTGACCGGAAATTGTACTTACATAAAAGTACCGATTAGACTAACTTGTAGAAAAAATCTCAGCATTTTTTGACTAAGTTTCTCTAAGATATAGATTTTTTACAACAATCATGACGATACGCCTATATTATAAAAATTTCTGGAATTTTTTTCTACAAGCTAGTCTAATTAGTGTCTTCATATAGACATAGTTTTAGATCAAAATTCAAAAAATATAATTTTTCTTAATAATTAGAGCTCCACAGGAAAAATCCACTAAAAATTCGATATCTTAGAAACAAAGGTCTAGCAGCTCAAATTACTCTAGGATATTTACTTCCTCATTAAATCCTGTTGACTGAATATAGTTTCAGCTTGAAAGCAATTTATCACTTGAGAACATTTCCTCATTAGTAGAGAATGTGCACAGAAATTTTTCCACCTATAGCATGTATGGAAGTCGAGATACATGAGATGGAAGACTTTTGTCTACTATTGTAATTTGTTTTTCTTCGAATAATTTAGATGAATAAATCAGCAAAAGTATCTTCTCTATATAAATCATCGATACAACGTGATACAAGTTATGATAATATAAAAAGTTTAACAACAATTGATGAAACAACAACAACAACAACAACAAAATCAAAACCTGAACAAAGTTCTTCTCAATATTCATCAATTAAAAATTTATTAACAAAAAAATTTCATCCATTAGGAATAGCAACAACTTCACATAATGAAACAACAACTCAACCAACAAAACCAAATATTAAACAAAAGAAACGTCGTACATCTTTTCGAAATTTTTCACAATTTCTTAAACGTAGTCATAGTACAAATACAGATTTATCAAATATAGCAGCAAATAATACATCTAATAGTAATGATCAACCAAATAAGTTAACTGCTGATATTATATATCAACGTTTACATGCAAAACAAATCGATGAAAATGATTCATCATTTATAACACGTTCAAATACAAGTATTATGTGTAATGGTAGTGGTACAGCATTAGTACCAATATCCGAAGAAGAAAATCCTGTACCAATCAAACAACAAAATCGATTAAAAACAACAAATATTGATGAGGAAGATTATTATTATGATAATACAATTCGATCTGATAGTGCAGCATTAACACATCAACAAACACAAAGAATTGCACCTAGTCTAAGTAAGATAATAATGATTTCTTTTTTTTCTATAATAATAATAATAATAATAATAAATATAATCATAGGTTTATCATCATCATCATCATTTATATCTGCTCATACATCATCTCCATCGGGTATTTCATCAACATCAAATAAAAATCGAAATAATATATTAAACGGTAATCAATATCAACAACGAGATGATCCGATAAAACCGTCCAAATCTTCATCATCAGTGACATCTAATATTGGCACAGCATTAGCTGTTCTTGCTAATAATACCAATATTAATACTAATACTAATAAACATTATTTAACAAATTCAATTAGTTTACATGGTGATGTTAATACATTAATAAATGCTCAAATAAATGATCATCATTTATCAACATCAGCTATTAATGATGTTGATTCCTCTTTATCTTCATCAACAAACACTAAAGGTAAAAAAAAAAGTTTATGTTTTTAAAATTTTATTTATTTATTTATTTTTGTTTCATTTAATTAAGGACGAACTGTTATTCAGTCAATAACACCTGATAGTTTAACAAAACAATATTCAACAAATAATATTGAAAATTCTAATCAAGAAGTAACTAAAGTTAAAATGCGTGAACATAGTGCAAAAAAGAAAAGAGGTTTACGTGATCTTAAATCGCGTATATCATTACCACCGGAATTAAAAAATAGTTTTTCATTTACAAAACAAAATTTAACTGTAATTAATAATAATAATAATAATAATAATAATAATCAATCATCAGGAATAAATTTAACAAATAAACTTAAATTAAATCAGCAACAAATACCACAACGTTCATCTTATTATCAAACAAATTCTTTATCAACACAAACATTAAATAATGTTTTAAATCAATCAAATTCATCATTAGTACATCGATCACCATCACAATTAAATGCAAGTATGAGTGGACAATTAAGTCGAAATGAACAACGTCTTTCAATGCTTGATCTTGGTTTTGGAAAAATTGAATCTTATATTAAATTAGAAAAATTAGGAGAAGGTTTAAGATTTATTTTTAAATAAATATTCATTTATTATTTATATTTTTAATAGGTACATATGCGACTGTTTATAAAGGAAAATCTCATTTATTGAATGGTTATATTGCATTAAAAGAAATTCGACTTGAACAAGAAGAAGGTATGTTTAATTAAAATAATTCATGATAGATGATTTTTTTTTCTATGCTAATTTCATGAAAGACTTACTCGAGGTAATGGGTTCATTTTTCAGATGTAAATTACTTTATTCTTTAAGCAGTATTGATATATTGAAAAAGTCTAGAATAAATTTTCTTAAATTTCATTAAATAAAAATGACTATCAGGTAGAGATGTGCGGAATCAAAATTTCTTTGGTCACAGTTTCGATAATTGTCTTCCACTAGTCCCAGTCTAGAGAAAACTATTCTAAAATTTATTTGTTTCACGTCTGAAAATATTCTTTAAGGCTCGTTTTTTGATTTATTTAGTAGACGACTAACACTTTTTTTGGATCATCTCTCTTGAATTATATTTTGATTTATAAGATAATTTGCTTCAAAATAACAGAATATTTGACCATAATCTTAAGTTCTAGTTGGGACAACTTTTTCTCGTCGTCCGGCATGTCTTTAGTTTCGAGTGAAAAAAAAATTAAAGTAAACGTACACTCAGAAAATTTCGGAACAAAAAAAATAACGAATGTTTCATTTTTATGAGTATTGTTCAATCCCTATATTTTCATCTATTTAACCTATGGCACGAAAGTCTTGACACAAAATATGTGCTTACAAGCTTCTTCTGATGTAAGAGATTGGACAATTATCATCAGATTATTTCAAAATAGTGGTTGTATAGAATACTATTGTGGTCAATTTTGTATTTTGATTAAAACCTATCAAATTCAAAATGCTAACCAGTTTTTAATAGTTCAGTTTACTCTACAGAGCGTACTATTTACTTTTCTCTATTATCTTGTCGGACAGATTTCAAAAGCAGTTTTTCAAAACGGTGACTTTTCTTTACCAATGCCCATTTCCACAGAGACTAGCGCTCGAGTAGAATGAGATTTCGCTTATTATAATATCTCATTTTGTACAGAATTTAGTGTTCTACAATAATGTTGAGTTGAAAAACTATGTTAAGACACAAACTAAGTACTGCACCAAAATCATTATTTTCTTTGTACGGGACACAATTTCGAACTCGCTAACACAATATACTGATAGTTATTCAATCTTAACCTAGAAAGAAAATCTGAAAAATACTCAGAACTCGCGGAGAATTCTCATTTTGACTCTAACCAGTTGTCTTTTAGTGGCTGTAGACTTTCTCATCATAGATTATGTCTTACATTTGTTATCAATAGTGTTTTCATTTCTATAAAAAATAAATAAATAAATCAATTCAATTTCTTTATTATCTTTGTTTTTTAGGTGCTCCATGTACAGCATTACGAGAAGTAAGCCTTTTAAAAGGTCTTAAGCACACTAATATTGTTAGTTTACATGATATTATATTTAATCAAACAACATTAACACTTGTATTTGAATTTGTTGAAAAAGATTTAAAACAATATATGGATGATTGTGGAAATATACTTAATATAAAGAATGTTCGTCTTTTTTTATTTCAACTTTTACGTGGTTTAGATTATTGTCATTCAAAAAAAATTCTTCATCGAGATCTTAAGTAATAATCTTTTGTTTTTTTTTTTCGTGTCTTTTAATTTAAATTAAATTTCTATTTTAGACCACAAAATTTATTAATTAATGAACGTGGTGAATTAAAATTAGCTGATTTTGGTTTAGCACGTATTAAATCATTTCCAACAAAAACTTATTCACATGAAGTTGTTACATTATGGTATCGACCACCAGATGTTTTACTTGGTAGTACAGAATATTCAACACCAATTGATGTATGGGCTGTTGGTTGTATTTTTTATGAAATGGCATGTGGCCGACCATTATTTGCTGGTACAAAAGTTGATGAAGAATTATATTTAATATTTAAATGTCTTGGTACACCAAATGAAAAAACTTTACCCGGTGTAACAACAAATCCTGATTTTCAAGCATTAAGATTTCCTTATTATCATGGTGAATCATTAAATCATTTAGCACCACGTCTTGATCAAAATGCAATTGATTTATTAGAAAAATTTTTACGATATAATCCACATTCTCGAATATCAGCACGTGATGCAATGATGCATAAATTTTTTTCTTGTTACCCACCGACAATACATACATTAGGACCATTACAATCAATATTAGATTTAAATGAAATATATTTAACAAAAGATCATGGTTCAAAGCTCATTACAGCATCGCTCATGAAAACGGCTATTTCAAAACGATCGAGTGTTCATCTGTGATGTGTTCTTCTCTTTTTTTGTTCTCGCCTTGTCAAACCTCGTTATATATTATATCATATGTACATTGTTTCATCGTCTCAATCTCTCATTCTTTATCTCTTCATTTTTGCGGTTTTTTCTTTTTTGAGTCATTCATAAATAGGTCTCTTTTTGTGTGCGTAACACATTTCTATATATATATGTAATGGCATTTTCCTGTTAATAACAGTACAATCTGAGCACGTGCAAAGCAATAAAATGATCTGTTTTTATGTGCGTTAAAACAAATAAAATAAAAAACCAACGATCTTTAACTCTTCTGGCAATACATATAAATCTTCTTTTTTTTCTTTTTTTTTTTTGTTTCTTCTTGTTGTTCCAAGGAAATGTCTTTCGTGTTTTGACAACATTATTACTGCTTCTGTCTTTATTTGTTGTCGATGTCATTTGTATGTGTATGCAAATGTATGGACGTGTGTTATTCATTAATTCTACTTTTCATTTTTTTTTTTTGTTCTTTTCTTTTTCGGAAAAGTTTTATTCGTAGTGAATACACTTTTCGTTTTTTTTCTCTCACTTTTTTTTGCACAATACACACGTATGCTCATATTTATAAAAAAAAAAAAAAAAAGACGACGAAATAAGAAATAGAAAATTCTTATTAAAAAACAAAAACTACGAAAAATCTGTATATTTTTTTTATTTCGATGGATCTTGAAAATTTATCATCACTTCCAAATGTATGTTATTTAACTTTTTATTTCAATCGATATTCAATTTATGTTTAAATAGGCTCATCAACAAATTCGTTTAGCTGATAGTCAAGTATCAATACAAAAATGGACAGTAGCTATTGAATATTATTTACGTGCAATCGGTTTGTTGAGAATTTCAAACATATCAATAGAATATATATTTTTTCTTACGTTCATAGAATATTTCAAAGCAACACAAAATACTCTACAAGATAATAGTCTGATATCAATTATTCAAGCACAAATAGTACAATGTGAAAAAATGATTCATTTTTGCCGCTTGAAAGATCGTTCTGAACAGGTAAACTATCATTATTACTTGAAGTTTAAATTAAAAAAAGGTAATCATTAAAGCATTTCAAGAATGTAATAAATATTCCCTTATAGAATATCGTATATAATAATTGTTTTGTGTTTACGAACTATTAGACATTACTGAAGATTTCCCTAAAGATTTTAGCAAGAGAAATGATAGTTCTCAGAATTTCTATTTATTTGATGAAATACGATCTTTGTTTTTGCAACTCTTAATTTTAACAGTGTATAAGACTAAACTATCGGTTTTTCAGTTCATCTTATTAATCTGGTTGCGTTTGAGTCTGAAATTTTTCTGTTAACCAGCTCTGAAAATTTTGGACCTAATAGTCTCTACTAACGATAGACATTCTGTGATATTAACAATTATGATATGGAAATCTTGATTTTGTATTTTTTTTAGGCAATCAAAGCTCAACGTCATTCAACAATAACTCGTGCTCATTCAACATCGAATGCAAAACCATCAACAAAAATTAATCGAATAATGTCACGACATCATACACTAGAATTAGAGAATGTTGTATTATTAGGTGATCATGGTGGTATAGATTCATTTGCAGCACTTATATTTCCAAATGATAATTCTGAAAATTCAAAGAATTTATCGTCAATAACAGCAAAGAAAAATAAAAAAGATGATTCACAAAAAATAGAAGAATTACAAACGAGTTATGAAGCATTAAAATCTCATCTTAAAGCAGCTTTTGATGATATTGAAAGATTAAAAAATGAAAATAATGAATTATGTATGCAAAAAGAAATCAATAGTTCACAACAACAAATTGAGTTCGGAATATTATCAACTAGTCATGAAAATAAGGATAAAGACGAGTCAGAAAACGAACTTGAAGTTACCCTATGATTGTATACTGATTTTTTTATTGTCATTTTTTGCTATATATATTGGTAAAAATAAAAACTACATTTTTCAAAGTTAAAAATATGGCACGATGCTGATCACGAGACAATTTCTACTCAAGAATTATATTTTTTCAAAATCAATTAAATATAATCTGAATAGCAGTCTTTTAATGTTGACTATTATCGGCGCCAGATGTCAAGACACTCGAATTTTATTTATGAAGAAGAGCTGATATGAAATGCAAGATAATAACATGCAGCTTTCAGTCATCGATAATCAAGACTATCAGTCATTTGTTCATAAGCAAAACCTCTTGTCAGAAAAATTCTAAAGATTGGCTTTTCAGAAGCCGTAACATTTTCATATTGTTTGGTCAGACATCATTAAGAATGTATGAAAGGATAGGTTATCAATTAGATCGAATCTCATAACTATGTTCATTTCCCAGAAATTTGCAAAAATCATATGAAATCTAGAGTATGTCAACAAAATGATTCTTGGTTATTTCCATAAAAACTTCAATTCTTTAGAGTTCTGCTAAAATACATTAGAACCGCTTGAAGAAACCAAACCCTACTCCATTATATATCCTGCATAATGTCAAACTCAATAAAGGCCTTAGAAACCAGTAAAAAAACACCTTCACTTTTGGAAAATTTCCGAAAAAACTTTGCCGATCAGAAGAATATGCTTTATTTCAGAATTATAAAGGTTTCAGGTTTTTATAGAAATAATCAAAAATTGTTTTGTTCACTTACTTTAGGGTTTCGTATAGTTTTTACATTTTTTTTTTGAAAACTAATATAGACACAAGACTCTGTCTGTTCAATAATCTATTGTTTCATGCCTCACCTGCAGGTACTCGATCGCACAATATTAAAACCTTAGGACTTCTTGAAAGTCGATCTTCGGAATTTTTCTGACAAGAGATTTTGCTGATGAAAAGATGTCTGAGAGTCTTGACTATCGGTTGCTGAAAACCGCATGTCATGATCCTGTATTTCACGTAAATTATTTAAAAACATTCGAGTGCCTTGATTTCTGCCACCGGCAATAGTAGATGGATGGTCACCTTTTTTTCATTGTGTATTCTGATTCATATGGTTATTATCAAATTTTAAAAAATTTATTGCCTTGACTATGCTTTACTGGTTGGTTCGCACGTCCCGCTGTATTAGTGCTTATATAACTTGCTATAGTACAAAATATATAGATGATTATTCATCATGATGAGCCTAATGATTTTAAAACTCAAGCAACTATTAGCTATAAACGGTAAAGTCGCTACTTGCTGCAGTCTTAATTAAAAACAATATCTTTTCTTCGTTTTCTTGATCAGAAATTTTGAAGAATGATGAATCACTACTAAAATGCACACATATTTACCGATGCTGAACAGTCGCCGCTGAATTTTACTTCTTAATACTGAATATTAGTTACGTTCAAATTGAATTTTTAACTAAGAAAAAATATTTTCAATCTCTTTTGTTATCTAATTCTTAACTATTTCATCGACATTCTAAGTGTTAAGTAACTTCAAATATTGTTCTTAAACATCGAATTCTCTTATGATTGCCGAGTGTGACAAAAGCTTTGCGACAATTTTGAACAAAACTTTTGTATAATTCCTTTGCTGTAACAACCAGTTTATTTTATACGACTTTAGTAGACACTAACGTTCCACATCGATCTTTCTCACCACGACAATGGGAAAAAAGCTCCAAAAACTGCAAAGCTATTAGCGAATAAGGTTCATCAAAGTACAGTTGATTGCTGGCTACGTCTGTATAAACAAACTGGTTTGATTGATGTTAAACCAAAATCAGAAAGACCAGGAATCGGCCGTATGAAACGACTCATAAACTTGATGAAAAAAAATGGCATGATTCCAGCGCTCTCCGAAAAAGTTTACAAATAATGACTAAAGACTTCAAAAATAATGCTGGAGTCAACAAGCGAGTGCTCTTCATGGAAAAAATTTTCGAATAAAACTGCAGTTTCCATAAACCATGAAAGTCAGATGATTTATTCGATTTTTAGAAACCGATCAAAACCGCGATTCGGAAATATCGTAGTGGGAAACAGAGAAAATCGCGATATTTTCGCATCGCGGCTTTAATCGGTTTGTAAAAACCGAATAAATAGCGTGACTTTCGCGGTTTTATTCGAAATTTCTTTTTTCCATAGGTCAGCGACGATTTTAAAAAACATGTTATCGAAAAATTAATCTTCAAAAGTTAAAAGAAGGTCAAAAATTAACAATAAAAACATGTTGTCAATAGATTAGGAAGAACATCAATCGTGGTAAATTGGAAAGAATGACGTTTGCTGATAAAAAAATATTTACAAAAAATAGTATTATCGGGACTGATAATCGATCTGATGCCGATGGATGCAGTGGACTAAAAGAAATGGAAAAATATCCCATGTAGGTCATAGTTGTATTGAATGAAATGTGGGATAGACTTATACCATCATATTTTTTTCAAAAAGGGGAATGGCTGAATAGCAAAAGTTATTATGATGAATTGTTATCATTTTATAAAAGGGAGGGTGACCGACTATTTGGACACCAAAGTCGAGGTTTTCAACAGGATAAGACTAGCTTCCATACCAATCGAACAGCTCAAGAATAGTGCAAAAATAATTTCAAATTCTTCATTTCGAAAGAAAAGTGGTCACCACCAAATTCCTTAGAATTAAACCTATTGGATTATTCTATCCGGAATAATACATCGAATCATATAGAATATCATAAAGTCAAAACAATCAACTATTTGCTTTGAGAAAATGATAAAGAAAGTTGATAATACATATTAATTAGGTTCGGAAAATAATTGATACTTTTCTTTGAAGAGTGTATTCAGTAGGAAAACATAATGGTGAACTGACTATAGATGAACATAATTAAGTCTAATAGCATTCTACTGTAGATTTTAAAATATTATATTGTTATTTTATTAATATGTTTTCTTTTGAAATAAATTGATTCTCTTCTTTTAGAATATCGCAAAATTTTTGTCACACTCGGTATATTAATAAAGATTTCATTGAAAATACTTTTCATTTTCATATACTTGTAATAT